CGCTGCTGGCATCCTCCGAGGCTGGCCCCAGGGGAGCAGACCAGGGAGACACGGAGCAGCTTTTCTCGCTCTGCAGGACGCGGGCGGCGGGACCGCGGCGCATCTGGGCGTCCTGCCGCTCCCGTCCTCCAGGGCGAGAAATCCCCTGTTCGTAACTGCGGATCCGATATAAGTCGGATCCGCGTAACTCGGGGACTGCCTGTATATCTATGGTGGAGTTAATAAGCCACAGCTGCTACACGAAGTTAAGTTTTATGCAGTGTTCTAATTCCTGATAGTAGGTTTGGACATCAAAAGAACTTTGCTACCTTGTTCTCAGAATGTGAGAGAGATGAACCGTGCTGTGCCCCATGTGTTAGTATTGCCTGTTATTTTATATATGAATTATTTAGAGGAAGAAATGGATAGTGAGTTGGCAAAGTTTGCTGAGTATACTAAATGGTTTCAGTTATTAAAAAGAACAGAGGAGTAAAACTGCAGATGGATTTATACACATTGGGCACCTACGACACCAGATGGTACAGATAATACATACATACACTTTAAAAGCACTATGCTAACATTAACCGAAACCACAGGCCTCCTGGGATGGTAAAAAAGGAGACGCATGTAAGTAATTATTCCCAATATAGAGATGAGAAAATTGAGATAGACAAGTGATGTGGCTTGCCCAGGGCCACACAGTCAATCTTGGTGAAAGCTGGGATTTGGCAAGAAGAATCAGGGAATTGCATCTGCTTATGCTGGGGTTGAATGCTGGCAGTCAGCCTTATGCTTAGGCTACAAAAACATCCCATATCTCTAGATGCTGTTGTACGTGTGTAAGGTTAAGGACACAGGCAAAAGCAGTCTACTTTTTTCATATCTGCTACTGGAGTCTGAAATTGTGAGGTTCTGCAAGAAGGGAACTTAGGTACTATTTTTGGATCAGGCCCATTATGTGCTCTATGACATCCCCTTTAACATCAGCCTCTTTGTTGCCCTTCCTACGGTTTTGTCACTGAGGGGGTGAAAATTGTCTCCTCTGAAACTCATGCGGTCTGAAAAATTCCTCTTGTGTTTTTGTTCTTCCCTAACATAATTTTACTTTTTTGGCTTCTGTTTATTAGCTTCTCTGTTAAAAAGGATGACATGATATTTTGCTAGAAAATGAGGCGAGAGAACCTTTTCTTACACTAGACTATCCATATTACAAATAACCGAATAGGAACAGTAGCAAACTCTGATCTTTTTGGACCTGGATCCATGGTTAAAGAGATGTTCAATGTGAGTCAGTGCTTTTGAGGACTGGAAAATCATAGCTCCTAACTGCAAAAAAAGGTGGCTCAGACTTAAAGATAGAATATCCTGAATGTGCCTGGTGCATTTTTGAAGGGCAGGGTTCATATTTAATAATATTTGGATGGGGAAAGCACTGGAAGAATTTCTATGTATAGGAATGGAGTGTTACTGACTGAGCTAATTTATACAACAGCAAGTTCTGAAACATCTTGCTGTCAGGTGACTGAATATTACAAATGAATCTATAAGAGAGCAATTGCTATACAACAGCTGTTGTCTTGGAGGTGCTGACATTGGATTTTTTCTGTGAACTTTCTAGAATGCTCTGCTACTGCATCGGATCATGCTGAAAAATGAGGCCCTTTTCTGGATGTAGGGGTATGTCTACACTACAAAGTTAGTTCGAACTAACTTTCATAGGCGCTACACTAGCGCTCCGTTAGTTCGAATTTGATTCGAAATAACGGAGCGCTTAGTTCGAACTAGGTAATCTTCATTCCAGCCTCATTCCAGCCTCATTCCAGCCTCATTCCAGCCTCATTCCAGCCTCATTCCAGCCTCATTCCAGCCTCATTCCAGCCTCATTCCAGCCTCATTCCAGCCTCATTCCAGCCTCATTCCAGCCTCATTCCAGCCTCATTCCAGCCTCATTCCAGCCTCATTCCAGCCTCATTCCAGCCTCATTCCAGCCTCATTCCAGCCTCATTCCAGCCTCATTCCAGCCTCATTCCAGCCTCATTCCAGCCTCATTCCAGCCTCATTCCAGCCTCATTCCAGCCTCATTCCAGCCTCATTCCAGCCTCATTCCAGCCTCATTCCAGCCTCATTCCAGCCTCATTCCAGCCTCATTCCAGCCTCATTCCAGCCTCATTCCAGCCTCATTCCAGCCTCATTCCAGCCTCATTCCAGCCTCATTCCAGCCTCATTCCAGCCTCATTCCAGCCTCATTCCAGCCTCATTCCAGCCTCATTCCAGCCTCATTCCAGCCTCATTCCAGCCTCATTCCAGCCTCATTCCAGCCTCATTCCAGCCTCATTCCAGCCTCATTCCAGCCTCATTCCAGCCTCATTCCAGCCTCATTCCAGCCTCATTCCAGCCTCATTCCAGCCTCATTCCAGCCTCATTCCAGCCTCATTCCAGCCTCATTCCAGCCTCATTCCAGCCTCATTCCAGCCTCATTCCAGCCTCATTCCAGCCTCATTCCAGCCTCATTCCAGCCTCATTCCAGCCTCATTCCAGCCTCATTCCAGCCTCATTCCAGCCTCATTCCAGCCTCATTCCAGCCTCATTCCAGCCTCATTCCAGCCTCATTCCAGCCTCATTCCAGCCTCATTCCAGCCTCATTCCAGCCTCATTCCAGCCTCATTCCAGCCTCATTCCAGCCTCATTCCAGCCTCATTCCAGCCTCATTCCAGCCTCATTCCAGCCTCATTCCAGCCTCATTCCAGCCTCATTCCAGCCTCATTCCAGCCTCATTCCAGCCTCATTCCAGCCTCATTCCAGCCTCATTCCAGCCTCATTCCAGCCTCATTCCAGCCTCATTCCAGCCTCATTCCAGCCTCATTCCAGCCTCATTCCAGCCTCATTCCAGCCTCATTCCAGCCTCATTCCAGCCTCATTCCAGCCTCATTCCAGCCTCATTCCAGCCTCATTCCAGCCTCATTCCAGCCTCATTCCAGCCTCATTCCAGCCTCATTCCAGCCTCATTCCAGCCTCATTCCAGCCTCATTCCAGCCTCATTCCAGCCTCATTCCAGCCTCATTCCAGCCTCATTCCAGCCTCATTCCAGCCTCATTCCAGCCTCATTCCAGCCTCATTCCAGCCTCATTCCAGCCTCATTCCAGCCTCATTCCAGCCTCATTCCAGCCTCATTCCAGCCTCATTCCAGCCTCATTCCAGCCTCATTCCAGCCTCATTCCAGCCTCATTCCAGCCTCATTCCAGCCTCATTCCAGCCTCATTCCAGCCTCATTCCAGCCTCATTCCAGCCTCATTCCAGCCTCATTCCAGCCTCATTCCAGCCTCATTCCAGCCTCATTCCAGCCTCATTCCAGCCTCATTCCAGCCTCATTCCAGCCTCATTCCAGCCTCATTCCAGCCTCATTCCAGCCTCATTCCAGCCTCATTCCAGCCTCATTCCAGCCTCATTCCAGCCTCATTCCAGCCTCATTCCAGCCTCATTCCAGCCTCATTCCAGCCTCATTCCAGCCTCATTCCAGCCTCATTCCAGCCTCATTCCAGCCTCATTCCAGCCTCATTCCAGCCTCATTCAAGCCTAGTTCGAACTAGGCTTGAATGAGGCTGGAATGAGGCTGGAATGAAGATTACCTAGTTCGAACTAAGCGCTCCGTTATTTCGAATCAAATTCGAACTAACGGAGCGCTAGTGTAGCGCCTATGAAAGTTAGTTCGAACTAACGTCCGTTAGTTCGAACTAACTTTGTAGTGTAGACATACCCTCGTACCTGCTAGTCATGTCATCATTTTAAAAAACAGAACTTGCATATGTCCCTATTTTCGTTCCACGCCCTCTAATTTGTTTGTTTGTTTATTTTTGGTTCTGGCTGCAAGTTAGAATCTTTTGTGCATTATCACACAATAGAGCAGAATACTTCCATCTCTACATCCACATTCAGTGCTTCAGTCATTGGAGGTACTTAGATATTTCACTCTGTTCAGACTGAGAACCACTTGAGAAATCTAACGCCATTTTAGAATGTCAGGCTTCAGACTGTGGGGGTGTTCTGGAGTCTGGTGATGATTTGAGAGGAGTTATATGTTCTCATATAACTCCTTGACTAGGTTTTATGCTTAGTTTTTCTATTTTTTGCTTTCCTAATATTAGTTTTTATTAGTTATATTAATTATATTATTAGTTATATTAATAATATTGGTTTTCAACAAATGCAAAGGCCAGACTAGCTTTATTTATTACATTTTTACAGTCAATACGATTTAACCTGAATTATTGTCATGGTCAAGTCACAGCTCAGAGAGCAAGATAGTGATATTTTCTTTCTTTTATGGTGTTGCTAGGATGAGCTAGATTCAACTTTATGGGTGCAGAGAGGTGCAGTTTGAATACCTGTGTGTCAGCAGGGACAGTTTTACTTCAGAAAAGAGGAGATGAATCCTACAGGCAAGAAGGCAATGGTACTGCTGCTGTCCTCTTCCCAGGCTTCTTATATCTAGTGTAGCCTGGCACGGAATTAGCACATCTCTTAATTTGCCTAACACTGCCCCCTCCTGGCCTGACCTAGCCCTATCAACTTTTGGCATGTCCAAATTGCCTCCCTGCTGCTTGGTGGATTAGGACTGTGGGCAACTTGTTATATTAAGCCTCTGTTTCTGCCTTCTATTGGTGAGGAATCCTGGCTACACCACTGTAACTCCTGGATTGAATCTGTCTGTCTCTTGGAGATGCAGAGTCACTTTGACAGCTAGATCAGGTAAGTTTGATTAGCTCTATTTCAGCAAGAAAAAAAAAAGCTGTTTTTGAGGCAATGCAAGGCCAGAAAGAAGGTCAGAAGTCTTGCAGGGAGAACCCCAAGGAACTACCAGTCTGGGATGGATCCTCAGCACAGGTCAATATTGAACGCTTTTTCTTTGTTGGAATTGTACATTCCTGCCTCAAAGCTTTGTTGTTTAAGGCAGCAGAATAAAGGTAAACCCAAGGACAGGGAGGAAGGGGAGCAGTGATAGAAATGAAGCAAGAACTCCTCTTAATTACAAATGTTCAAAAAGCCCTCATGTTACACATCCCAACTCCTTGCCCCCGTAATGTGAACAACATGAAAGGTCTCCCAGGCTTTTCTTGTTAATAATTTAAAATTAATATAGCTTGGAACCTGACCCAAATGGAGATGAGGCATATGCAAGGTGATCTGAGATGTGATCAGTAGTGTTTTCTTTTATCACTCACAATAACACAGAAATGTAAATCTCCTGTCCATATATATTTCAGGCAAGAAGTGTTAACATCCCTCAAAATGTCTTTGAAACCATTAAAGTTAAAGCGAGCATTCAGCAACTTAAATGTTCTTAGGGTTTTAGAAATGTGTAGGTTTGGCAGAGGATGTTATTTTTCCCAAACCATTTGAGCCCTGCCATGAGCTGTAAGATCTACAAACACCACATTAAATACCAGAGCATAGTTTGCACTCGTATACATGGGTGCAGAAACATTGTGTTTAGGGGGGCTGCAAGGGTGAAAATGAGAGTAGAATTTGAGCTACGAATGACATCAAAGTGGCTGTTATAAAATGGGCTGTGAATATGATTCTCTCTGATTCTCATTGTTCTTATATGCCACTGGTTTGAAGATTAACAATATTTAACTGTTTATCTTTCAGGAGCACTGGGAAACAAATGCAGCAATTATAACTATTCCTGATTTTTTCCTCATAAGTTAAAAGAATTAATTAGTTCAGAGATGGTAGAATAGTGAAAGGGATGAATGTAGTCAGCTTGCCTAAAAAGCTGGATTTCAGAACATATGCAGTGAAATGAGACAGAAAAAAGGTGACAAAAATAAATCCTAGTTTCCCAGTAGACATAAATAGACAAAAAGGTCAGAAAAAAACCCAATGCCTTGCATATATTCAGATGTATACCAGTTGCATCATTGGGAATAGTTGTCATAATGGCCAAGATTCAATTTCAGACAGAAGATGGAATGTAAACCTTCTAGTGAGAAAAACAGCTCCACACTGCTTCTCCCTTTCTCTCACCCACTCCAATCAGAATAGATCAGTCTAAACATGCTCGAGAGCTTGCTGATCTCATTCTGCTCTGTTACTGATAATGAAGCAGACCATTTATATATTGCACATTCAAAAGATTTAAATCAAAATATTTTCATGATTTCTCAATTATATTAATATTATATATATTAATAAGTTATAAAATTATTAACTTGTAATTATGTGCGGTATGTGTTTTATTTGCACACACATAGACTCATTATAAGATGCAACCCGTTTTACACTTCTATGGTTTAGAAATCTATCTACAGCAATAGACATGATTTACATGTCATGATTTACATCGCATTAATTAATAGTCCTGATAATAAGAGCTTCTGTGGCCATGACTTACACTGTGTTGGCTGAAGTCTGGATTTCGTATTCATTTTTTATAGTCAGGCAAATGCCTATTGAAATCAAATGATTAAACACCTCAGAATTTGCTGAATTAAATGATCATAAAACAGTTAAAACATGAAGGTACTTGCATCTGGAAAAGGTTCTAAACCTGCAAAATAATGTCACAGAGGCAAACTCTCAGGGCCGGCCCACAACATTTTGGCACCTGAGGTGGGGAGCTCAAATGATGCCCCCATGCCCCTTTGCTTAGGCCAAAACTTTAGAGATAAACTGCTATTCTGAAACATCCCTTAATTCTTGTGGAACGAGGTTTACAGAGACATCAGAATAGTGAGTCCGTTATTTTGAAAGCTATTTCAAAATAATGGGGACACTGTCAAGACATGGACTATGCTATTTCAGGAAATATCCCAAAATAGCCCCACAGTGTAGACATACCCTAGGTGTCGCTTGCCTATCTCTTCTATGAGTCATACCCCGGTAGGTATTTGCTAAGATGGCCCACTGAATTATGATGAGGTGGTGTTAGTCATAAGCCATACTGGGTCAGACCAAAGATCCATCCAGCCCAGTATCCTGTCTTCCAACAGAGGCCAATGTCAGATGCCTCAGAGGAAGGGAACAGAACAGGGAATCTTCAAGCAATCCCTTTCCCATGACCCATTCCCAATCTCTGACAGAAACTAGGGACAACATTCCGACCCATCCTGGCTAATAGCCATTGATGGACCCAACCTCCATTAATTTATCTAGTTCTTCCTTGAACCCTATCCTTGAACCAACCAGGTGCAGTGATGTTGTACACATATGTTCATAGTCCCTTCTCTGCCTGATTTAGAACCCAGGTTTCCCACTTCTCAGTTAAGTACCCTAACCACTGGGCTATCCCTCTCTCAATTTCAATGAGGAAGCTATTCCACATTATATAAATTACTTAAATACTCATTTTAGGAAGGACTTGAACTTGGGTCTCCCAAATGAGTGCCCTAGCCGGGGGGCTACAGTGTCAGTCTCATGGTCTCTTCAGCCTAAAGTCAATGTAAAATAGTGGATAAATGGCAACAGGTAGACATAATTCATTTGAACATCTAAAAGGCCTTTCACAATGTCCCATACAAAAGACTACTATAGAAGCTATGTAGACATGGGATGAGGGGCAAAATATTGCCATAGATTAAAAAGGGGGCCTACAGATAGAAAAACAAATAGTAGGCTTAAATAGTCAGTTTTCATCATAGCTAATAACAGGGTGCCTCAAGATTCCTTTCCAGTTTCCATGGATGTATTTATGGTTTTGAATATATTTATTCACGATCTGGGATGGGAGAAGAATAGTGATGCAGAAAAATTTTCAGATGACACAGAGTAATATAGGTTAGTAGGGACCAGAGAACACTGAGAGAAACTTCCAGGAGACCTAAAGCAGTTAGGACAATAGGCACCATGATGGCAAATAAAATTCACCGTGCGAGCAAAGTAATGCACTCTGGAGGGAAAATTTAAACTACTCATGCACCAAACTAGGTTTTAAATGTACAGAACCAATAGAGGAAAGAGACCTAAGCCCCATTATAGACAGCTAGGGAAGACTTCTGCTCAACGAGCAGCTGTGGCCAAAAATGGTAATAAAAGCTTGCGATACAGATGGATGGGATGGAGAATAGTGTGGAGAACATTGTAATCCCTTTATGTAACTTAATGGTGTGACCTCACTGTGTGAAGTATTGGTCAACCTATCTCAAAATGTTTATTACAGAGTTAGAGGAAGTTAAGGAAAAGGTAATGAAAATGATCCGGGACCTGGGAAAACTCATGCAAAGAGAGACTGAAAAAGAGTGGGATTGATTATTTTAGAAAGAAGGCAAATAAGAGGAGGCATGATAAAAGTATATAAAAAAGGTAGATTGGGAACTTCTCTCTGTTTTATATCACAAGAAGAAGATAACATTCAATGAAATTAAAACATAGCAAATTCTCAAGCGATAAAAGGAAATGCATTTCAAGACGTGACTAAACTGTAGAATCAATGCCATAAGACATTCCTGAGTCCAAGAACTTAACAAGATTTTTGTAAAGGGATTGGACATTTAGGGTATGTCTACACTACCCCCCTAGTTCGAACTAGGGGGGTAGTGTAGACATACCCTTCGGTATCAAGAATACCTAGAATGATCATAACTAATGACAACAAAAAAGTTGGAAATGATACTAAAGCTTGGGCTTTAGCATTTACAACAATTAATTAGACATCATGAGGAGTCACCACACTGGGGGGCAGATTATTCCACATCTACCTAATGTGGATTTCTTATGGCTTCCTCTGAAGCACCTGCTACTGCCACTGTCAGACACAAGCTAGTGGACTAGGTGAACCCCATTTACAATATTACAATTCTCATGCTCCTAGAATTACAAAGAATCTCAATTTGCTTAAAAATCCTACTTTTTGAGAACTTTGGAATTTAAAATGGAATATGACTAACAATTAACATTGGACTTGCTTATGGCAGTTGGCCACATCCCTGCACTGAGGGCAGTGCAGAGCTGTACAGCCCTCCAGGAAGCATCAGATGGATTTCTGCCTGAGAGACAAACACAATGCCTCACAGGTCATTGTCTCAGTGTGAAGAATTGATGTAAGAGGCACCTGAGCATTCACCCTAGGGAAAACAAAACTTTTGTCTGGTTCCTCCAGGGAAGCAGGACAGTGTAAGAGTCCTGGGAATGTCGGTCAAGGCTCTATTCTCAGATATAACAGAATTATTATTGGCAAATGCACAAGCGGTACAATAAAGATGGGGAAAAAATTCAAAACACAATGAATTACAGCTGTAGAAGTAAAAAAAAAGTCAAATATGTCAGAAGAGCTTAGGCCAGTGTCATTCATTTCAACCATTCAATAAACAGCCTGGGTGCCAGCACTGTAAAGTCTGGAAAGTCTTTTTGATAGACCAGCACCTCATGAGCAGCCATTTAACAGATGTGCAGCAGCTATACACAGAGGGCTGATTGTGGGTCTCTCAGGTGTGGTCTTTTGCCACGTACTTGGTGAGCATGCACTAGAGATAGTGAGGCCATTTGAAACCAGGAAGGTTCTCATCAGACTGAGGCTATGTCTAGACTACACCTCTCTGTTGACAGAGGAATGTAGATTAGGCATATCAAAATTGCTAATGAAGCAGGGATTTAAATATCCCGTGTTTTATTAGCATAAACATGGCTGGCACTGTTTTTTTCAAAATGGAGCTTTTTCCAGAAAAAATACCCTGGCAGTCTAGATGTAGATCTGTTGAAAAATAAACCCTGCCCCCCCCCGCCGGCTTCCCCCGAGGCTTTGCAAAGCTGCTGCGGCTTTGCTCCCGGTGCCTCTGGTCTGCTGGGGACCGTCTCCAGCAGACCAGGGACACCGGGAGCAAAGGAGGCAGAGGGGCGCTGGGGTATAAGATGAAACCCTATCTTTTAATTAAAAAATTAGGGGGTCGTCTTATACGCCCAGTCGCCCTATACGCCGGAAAATACGGTATTTCTCCTCCCAGGCCCTCCCCCTTCTCATTTTATGAGAAACAATAACATACCATGCACATCCCATTGTCCTGGCACAACCAAACCCTGATCTTGCTTTAAGTTAGGATAAGAGGAAACTCCATAGCAAATTTGGTGGGCCTAGCTCTTACAATTTAGGAGGAGTTATTGAACAAATGACTCACAGATGGATGGATGGACGCACCTATATATTATTTATATATATAGTATTTATAGATAAGGACTGAAATATTCATTGGCCTGGAAGGTTATGTGTCTAATTGTTTGGGATTGATAGACATTTATCTGACTGAGGTGTCTGGGTGAAAGCCTGAGGCTGTGTACTTTAAGGGAACAGCGTTGTTTGGACTTTTGATTGTTAATAAAGTAACACAAAATTATTCTGTACCAGCTTGGTAAATATTAATATTGAAATAATCACCAGAATTGGCTGTTCCATTGTTTGCAGTGCACCTTAATTGAGTGACCTCAACTGGCTCCCTTTGTTCTCAGGTAAGACAGATGGTAAAAGCAGAGAATTCATAGACTCTTGAGTTTTAAAGCCAGAAAGAGCCATTAACTTCCAGCATAACTCAGGCCATAGAATTTTGCCCTGTAACTCCTGCATTGAAGGAAATTAATTTTCCCTACTGTATAGATAAACTAGAGCATATTTTGTAGGAAGACATTCAATCTTGGTCTGAAGAGCCCAAATGCTGATGTATTTATCACATTGTAAGATGTGATCAATGCCAAAGATGATTAATTGCCAGCATGGCTAAAAAGTTCTATCTTGCTCCCAAATGGGAGCTTTTCTAACCCTGTCTTTCAGTCACCATGCCACTTGTCTGCTAAATAAAAGAGCTCCCTAATGCAGATCTTTTCTCCTTTATGTAGGTACTTCTAGAGCATGATCAATTTGATTCTTATTCTTTTCTCTGATAATTATTTAGCTTAAGTCAGTAGGTACTGAAAAAACACAGGTTAGGTCAGAGCCTGCAAAGATTAATTATATTTACTAATAGATTGGATCTGGGATATCAATAGAAAATATTGGACATACTGCAGTTCTGACATCTTCTCCACAAGATACTTTGTAGCTCAGGTGAATAATGTACACTGAGCCATACTGTAATAACACATGAATTCTAGACCCAGATCTTTCACCAAGGAGGGTTGGGGGTAGCAATGAGCATGAAGATTTTAGATGCCTGGCACCTCTGGAATGCAATACAGCTCCACACTGCTCCTTATTATGGGCAATGGTCAAATGTCACAACCCAGGCCTGAATAATTAGTTTTATCACTTAATGTTTGTGTTTTTCACATGTGATTTATTTAAATTAACCATGAAATGGGATATTAATTACTGTTATCATTTCATTTTAGACAAATCAAATCAATTTCAGAATGAGCATCAATGAATGCTACTTAAAATGCATTTCAAAATCAAACGGATGACATAAATGGAATCATTTAAAAATAAGAAGCATTCAAAGTCTGTCTTTGAAGAAGGTAAAAGAGTAACTTTGGTCTGCAGCTTGGATCCAGTATGACATGTTAGTATAAGGAAAAGCCTTGTGTCAGGGAGATTAACATGCACACAGTGCTTTAATTTTCCACTTAACTAGTGTTCTTGCGGTAGATACAGGCTACATGGAGAAAGACGGCAAGAAAAAGAGGCAATTCTATGCAGGAATAGATTCCCTCAACAATTTTTGAACATTTTCTTGTACCAGCACATGCACTTTCTTATCTGCATTTTGCAGCCAGCTAGGAGACACTAATGAGAGATTTTATGTTCATACCAATTACTTGAAATATTTAACATCCCTCTTAAAGTACATTTACACTTCAAAGAAATGACTCACTGCAAGCATTCCACTATATTGCAAAGGAAAAAAATGTCTCTCTGCTTGGTATTATTATAGAAATGTCTTTGAGTTCTACTACGGTTTAGGCCCTATTATCAGTTTTATTTTAAATTCTTACTTGTAGAGGTTTATATTTTGGTGTAAAACATTGTTCCCAGATTCTAACTTTATATACAAGTTGGGCCCAGTGAATGCTGTTGTGCTTCTTTCCACTGTAGCCATGCACTTTTGCATCCACACCCATAAATTTGACAGGTACCTGTGAGGGACAGTCATTACCAGCAGTAGCATACAGAACTGTTGAAACTGGTACTGCTGAAGTGAGTGGCTTCTTTTCCTAGCAGCCAGTGCCCTTCCCTTCTGGTTACTGCTTTTTCTTACTATTAGAGCTAGTAGGTATTTTTCCACTGTCAAAATTTCACACGAGAAATGGGGCGTCACATAAAGTCATATTTTTTATTTGGAAAGTGTCATCTTTGGCTTCACTTTTTTGTATTTTGACAGAAAATTTCAGAATGAAATGGCTATTTCTTTTAATTTCAAATTGTTTTTTTTTGGTTTCATCATTATACAGGGAAAGAAAAATGAAAGGGTTGGAGGCACTTCTCTTCAATGGATAGATAAGAAATCCATCAATGACTAATAGACACCCAGAAACTAGAGGGATGAATATCAGAATCTTGATAGATGTCATTCCTTTCAAGGCACAATATTCATCTAGTTTTGGTCCCAAAATTACTTATATCCCATACAAATATGTATATTGATTATTACTTGTTGTTATTATTATTATTATTATACTATATATCAGAAATAAATACTTGTGAAACTGAAGTTACAAAATATGGACTCATCCTTTTGTGTAAATAACATGCTAAGTTTTAAGTTTCCCATATGAATAATAATTTCCCCTCCATTTTGTATCTATCACATAGGGTGTGCCATGTTTGCATCTTGTCAAAGTTGAGAGGTGGAATAGGAAAAAGGGAAAATGGAGAATAATTACTGCATCAGTTATGACTTGTTTAGCTGAACAGTAAATACACAGCAAACCAGAGTGTGAAGCTACATCATATTAATACCCTGCGGAAATCCGCGGGGGATTTAAATATCCCCCGCGGCATTTAAATAAAAATGTCCGCCGCTTTTTTCCGGCTTTTAAAAAAGCCGGAAAAGAGCGTCTAGACTGGCCCCGATCCTCCGGAAAAAGTGCCCTTTTCCGGAGGCTCTTTGAAGTAGGAATAAGAGCCTCTGGAAAAGGGCACTTTTTCCGGAGGATCGGGGCCAGTCTAGACGCTCTTTTCCGGCTTTTTTAAAAGCCGGAAAAAAGCGGCGGACATTTTTATTTAAATGCCGCGGGGGATATTTAAATCCCCCGTGGATTTCCCTACGACGACTGGTGAAATTTACATGCCCCTTCCGGAAAAGGGGCCAGTGTAGACGTAGCCATTGAGAATGTGGACTCAGCTACCATGCATGAAAAGTTTCCTACTGAGCTTTCATGTATTCCACTTTGAAACACGAGTAGTGCACTAGGACACTTTTGGTGTGTGCACCAGCTTGGCACACACAGACATGCATGGCTTGCTAGTGTACTATAGATTTAGATTTACATCCCAATTTGCCTTGAGCCAAGGATATGTCTACATAGCAAGGCTAAAGTCGAATTAAGCTACACAACTTCAGCTATGTCAATTGCATATCTTAAGTCGATATATCTTAACTCGACTTCAGGCACTGTCTACACAGCAAGAAGTTAAAGGAAGAACTTCCTTTGACTTCCCTTACTCCTTGTGAAATGAGGATTACAGGAGTTGGAGTAAGAAGTCCTCCAGCTTGACATTATTTTGAAATAAAGGCTTGTTGTCACGCACTACGTTACTTTGGAATAATGTCAGTTATTCCAAAATAATGCTGCTGTGTAGATGTACCCAAACTGTTCATTTAGACAAGCCCACAGAAAAAGGCACTTGAACAATGGCTGACTCAAACAAAACTTAGGAACCCAAAACAAGATCTCAGAGTGAATCTGGTCCTGAAGAAGCCAGACCTAGGATCACTTAGTTACCAACTATGCAACTTCTTTAACAGGTAGTTTCTACAGCTTCCTCCCAGCCCACCTGGCTGTTTTACTAGCTTTTAGCTTCCTCTATCAAACCCCTCTTCTGCTAGAAAGTCTGAGATTTCTCTGCTGCCTAAAAACCTTGGCAATCTTTTCTATGATTGCTTAGTATCTCTCCTAATCCTCCCTGCCTAAAGACTTTTATACTTTCTTTCTTTTCCTTCTAATTTCCTGCAGCTGTTTTGTTTGAGTCAGCCCCTCCTCAGATAGCTAATTACAGTAAACTTCCGATAATCCGGCACCTTTAGGACCAGGGGGTGCCAGATTATCAGATATGCCAGACTATAGGAAGGGGGGACTATGAGGGGTCTGGGGTGGAGTGGGGGGGATGCTCCCCTTGGTACTGTGGGACCAACCCGGCAGCACCCCAGCTGCTCTGCCTCAGACTTCCCCAAGTCAGCCGCTGCTGAAACTGACCAGCGGCTGACTTGGGGAAGTCTGAGGCAGAGCAGCTGGGGTGCTGCTAGGTTGGTCCCGCAGTGCCGAGGGTTGCATCCCCCCCTCCACCTCAGACCCCTCATAGCCCCCCCTTCCTATAGTCCGGCATATTTGATAATCCGGCACCCCCTGGGTCCTAAAGGTGCCGTATTATCGGAAGTTTACTGTACTGAGAAAAAATTGATTGAAAGGGACAAAGGAAAAGCTAAAATACATAGTAGTGGGAAACAAATAGCACAAAGGCAGAGAAAAGAACAAATGGGAAGGTAAAGTCATTTTTAAAAGTTTTACTTAATAGGAAATATAACTGTCAAAATGTTACAATAAATGAACAAGGACTGGAAAGAGTTCATTGTGGGGTGAGGGACAGAAATTTGCTGAAGGCCAGCTCTGGCTTGCTAGAGTTCTCCTTCCTATTTCCCTACCACATTTTTCTGTGGTTACTTCTCCCTGTGGTTATCTAAATTCCCATAAATTCTTGTGGTTATACTGAATATACTCTACTATGTAGAATACAACAAACATGCTATAAGAGGTCTGTAGCTACAGCTGAAATTACAGCATTTAAGAGGTTTCCCACAGGCAGGATATTGGGCCAAACCATAAAGATATATATGATTAAAATGTAACACCTAAGATTAGTAGAGGTTGGAGAGAAAAAGTCTGTTCATTTACTTTATGCATTTGAGAGCTCTTTGTGTATAGTCAATTTTGCTGTTTCCTCTCTATAAACAGTCATTTTCTCCCTTGTTATGAGTTTTTCACACAGTAACGGGAGGGAGGAGGGAAATGATAAAAAAGTGTGATTGTAAAACTAAAAAAAAAAAAATTGGCAAGGTTGCATCAGGGGCAGGTGCACAGTGAGATACTACATAAAAAGCAAGCTACTAGAATTCTAGTTGATGATATCCTTTTCACTTTGCATATTTTTAATTTTCAGAGATATGTATTGTTTTAAAACACAAAATCATTACATTTTTGCCCTTAAACTATAAACATACATTTAGACTATTAACACTATTATGACAAAATTATTTTTCTCAGGCAGGGGGTCTCCAGCTTCAATGTATTATTACGCACTCCTTAAAACAGAAATTCTTACACAACCACAAGAAAGGAAACTGAAATTTGAGTCCACCTGAGACCAGGCCCCCCAGGTGGAAAGGGGCCAAAGATGAAAGCCAAGAGCCTCAGTCCTAGGTGAGTGGAGGTCAGTAGCTGAGCCCTGCTGCTCAGGACTGAAGTTGAAGCCTGAGCCTCACCACCAAAGGCTGAAGCACCTGGCAATGAGGCTTGGGCTTTGACCCTGGCAATTGAGGCAGCAGTAGCCCTGGCAACACCATTAAAACAGGGCCCATTAAAACTTTGGGGTCCTGACCCACAATCTGTGAAATGCTGTCCCAGGAATATTATTATTATATTTATAATATTATTATTTATATTTATTATTATTATATTTATAGCAATTAACTCTGTCCAGATGACATACTAGGAAAACAGAAGGCAAATCCGGAGGCTTATTTCAGAAGGAAGCAGGTTGGACCCTGAGTTTCCTTTAATTAAACTCAAACAGGCAACACAGGGGACAGTGGTGCACTGTCATTCTACAGTTAGAAGTAGGAACACTTGAAGGTTCAGGACTTCTTGCAACCCAGCTTCAGTGTAATTGGGTAGGATACTATGACTACCATGCTAACACCCGCCAGTCTCTGGGGGTACATCTATTCCACACCCTTACCTCAAAATAGCTCATTTATTTCAAATTTTGAAATAAAATGCTATTCTAAAATGTCCCTTAACCCTCATGGAACGAGGTTTACAGGGATGTCAGAACAGTAAGCCCATTATATTTTGAAATAACAGGTGTGCTGAAAAGATGCAGAATAGCTATTTCAGGATACTTCTGGTATACTGAAATAGCTCCACAGTGTAGATGTAGTCAAAGTGACAAGAACTACCCATCTAGGGTATGTCTAGACTACATGGTTCCATCGACGGAGACATGAGTTTACTAGACATATGAAAATGAAGCAGCGATTTAAATAATTGCCGCTTCATTTACATCAAAATGGCTGCCACGCTGTGCTGATCAGCTGCTTGGCGGCATAGCGGGGCAGTCTGGACGCACTGCAGTCAACAAGGGAAGCCTTTGTCGACTGCTCCGATATGCCTTGTGAAATGATCTGATTGTAGAATGCCAAGAACTCTTGAGTTCTAATTTTAGCTCTCTCACTATTCTTTTGGGATAACATATATCACTTACTATCTCTGCCTATATTTCTGCATATGTGTCATCATGATTTTTACCTACTACCAAGGGTTTGGTGTTGTTTGTAAAGAACTTCAATGAATAGGATTTAGTGTTAACAAATATCTTACTAGAAGAGTTACCTAGCATTGCTCAGGTCCTTCAGGGTGTGAGGTGGGTGATGGTGTGGAGGATTTAGAAGTCAGGGCAGGAGTTTGGGGATGTTGATAGCTCAGGGCAGGGAGCTAGGGAAGTGGGGAGTGCAGGAGGCAGGATTGGGGGGTGAGGAGCGATTCTAAGCAGGGGGTGGACAGTGAAGGAGTCAGGGCATAGGGTAGGGGTATAGGCATCAGGGTATGGGAATGGGAGGGTGGCTCGGAGGAGGGGTGGGGAAGCAGGAATCAGGGAGGTTGGGAGGTAGGAGGGCTCAGGGGAGGGGTGAGGTGCAGGAGTCAGGGCACAGGGTGGGGACCTCAGGGCAGGAGCTGGTAGCAGTTGGCTCCCAGGTCCAGCTTGGGGTGTCCACGGCTGCGCTGCCCAGCCAATAGCTGCTCTCATGGGCCAGGTCAGGGTAGTGGGGGTCACTCTACCCAGCTGGTGGCTGCTCCAGAGCAGCAGCGGGAACATCTTCTCTGGGCTCTGTAGGATGGTTGAGTCCATGCTGCCTGGACAGCAGCTGGTCCACGACTCTCCAAGGCTGTTGGGGCAGAGGGGACATACTTGTTTGCTGTCCCCGTGGACATTTTGGAGAATAACTTTCCCCCGTGTTTGCTGACTCCCTGTGGTCATTCTGGAATATAACTGTCCTTGATGTTACAGCACTCCCTTTACATTTGAGGAGAAACAATCACATTCCAGGCACATCCCATTGCCCTGGCAAAACAAAACCTTGACCTTGTTTTAATTTCTGATAAGAGGAAGCTGCATGCCAAATTT